AAAAAAAAAAAAAAAAAAAAAATCAATAAAAAATATAAAAATTACTCAAAAGGAGGTAGGCACCTGGTTCAGGCCATCTTATATCGCATTCTCGATGATCATCTTAACATGCTCATCACAAGATAGACGAAGGCTTTGGGGGTCACCTGACCCTATATTTGAAGACAATCTCTATATTTAGCATATTAAAATCAAGGTTGGTGTAGGCAGGAAACTCTTTAGTAAAGACTCTAAAGAGACTGCTACTGTGTCTGTGTTCCATTGGAGGATGCAAACTTATAAATGTATGGATTTAAGAAGCCATAACACTAAAAAAAAGTTATTCTCAGAATATGACAGAAGTGAAAAAGTCAATGACATTTTCTAGGTAACACATTACTTAGAATTAGAACCTGTTTAGATACTCATAGCTAAGTAATAATCTTCTTTATATCACACTCCTATTACCTAATTTTTAATCAGAACATGGAAATCTTCAAAAATAAGCTTATACGGGGGGTGGGGGGCAAGAATAGCTTTACAGTTGTAATACAAATAAACAATACAATCATTAATAAGTAGCCCTAACCGGTTTGGCTCAGTGGATAGAGCATCGGCCTGAGGACTAAAAGGTCCCAGGTTCGATTCCGGTCAAGGGCATGTACCTTGGTTGAAGGAACATCCTCAGTAGGAGATGTGCAGGAGGCAGCTGATCGATGTTTCTCTCTCATCAATGTTTCTAACTCTCTATCCCTCTCTCCCTTCCTCTCTATAAAAAATCAATAAAATATATATTTTTTAAAAATAAGTAATAATACAAGGATACATTCTGTTTCGTATACTCGTAACTGTAACCCTACTTTTGCCAACCCCTGTAGTATAAAAATACCAAGAAAGGTTCATCAGGGTACCTTTTTTTTTTCCTTTTCTTTTTAATCCTCACCTGAGGATATTTTTTCCATTGATTTTTAGAAAGAATGGAAGGGAAGGGAGAGACAAAACAGAGAGAAACATCAATTGGTTGCCTCCTGCACCGGCCGGGGATCGAGCCTACCACTGAGGTACGTGCCCTTGAGTGGAATTGAACCCTATCCACTGAGCAAAACCGGCCGGGGCTCATCCGGGTATTCCAACAACTCTTACAGAGGAATCATCACAGCATCTCTAGACTTTCCCAGTGACTCATTTTCATGAGCCAAATGAGAAGCCGGTCGCATTCGCCTCTCCAAACTGCACACGCTAAGCCGTCAAGAATCAACCGACCAGTTGCAATTCATCACCAATCCTAGATCAACTGCATCTCAACTAAAGATCATAAGCAGCTGGCAATGAGCTCTGTGCCTCTGAGGTTTTATGAAACACAGCTACGCGCTCTGGACATTTACGATGTCCCTGAGCCCAGGGCACTGAAGTCCAAATTCTAGAAACTATCATGGAAGGGAGGGGGAAAAAAAAATACCAAAAAAAAACACAAAAAACCAGACAACAGCTCAGTGTGAAGACACAGCTCTGAAGCTGGGAAATAAATACTGCTCTCCGGGCCCCTCTGCTGCTCCCATATTTTTGATATCTTTATCCGGGCCGTCAACATTTTTTCTCTCCTCCTTCCTTGCTGGGCCCATTCTTCCATAACCTCTCCTGTCCTCCCCAGCTACACTATTCCCCAGGCTCACAATTTCTCTTCCCAGCCTTTATGTTCTCCCACAAACTGCCCGCGCCCGTCCGCAGGCCGGGGCTCCCTAACTACACATGGTTATTGATGTCCAGGCCCGTGTTTTAGTGCAGCACAGAATCAATAAACTGAGAAAATACTGCTTTGTCAGGCTTCGCCGAGGCATGCCGGGAAGTTTTACTGCCTCGGATGGTTACAGCAACTCTTAAATGTGGGAGCGCGAGGGCCGGGCTCCCTTCTGCGGCCAGAAGTGAAGTTCTTCTCCCCTCTAGTGACTATAAAGGGATAAGACAAGAGCGTGGAGGGATTTCTGAGACGGTTTCACATTATTTATTGGCTCTTCGTTCCGAAAAGGGAGCCGGAGGCTTGGGCACCGAGGGAACTGGCAGGGGAGCCAAAACACCTTATTATAGTTCTTTCTTAAAGGGCTCAACATGCAAAGGAGATAATGCTTTAGGAAGTATCGGAACCTGGGGTGCCTTTGAATTTTATTTTATTTTATTGATTTTTTAAAAATATATTTGTATTGATTTCAGAGAGGAAGGGAAAGAGAGGGACAGACATCAAGGATGAGAGAGAATCATGGATCGGCTGCTGCCTGCACGCCCCCTAGTGGGGATCGAGCCTGCAACCCGGGCATGTGCCCTTGACCGGAATCGAACCCGGGACCCTTCAGTCTGCAGGCCGATGCTCTATCCACTGAGCCAAACCAGCTAGGGCTCTTTTGAATTTTAAAAGACAAGGTTTCTCAAGTTTGCCTCCCTTCCTAAATGACTAGGGCTGGTCAGGTTACAAATCTCTCAATCGCTCTCTCTCTTCTCTCTCTCTCTCTCTCTCTCTCTCTCTCTCACACACACACACACACACACACACACACACACACACACACACTCTCTTATAAATTCACAAAGTCTTTGCCTCATTCTCCTTATTTTACACAGAAGGAAGCGGCTGAAACACAGTGAGGTCAGAAATCAGAGCTGGCCTATGTATTTGTGCAGGTGTTTGTGTAAATAAATGCATATAAGTAACTGACACCCCCTCCCGCCCCCCACGCACACATAAACCACCGCCGTCCCCATGTGGGTTATTTCTCTTTAACAAAGCAGCCCGGCTGCTAAATGAAGTTTTAATTTTTAAAAATGTTTTGTTGGTTTCATTTCACACTCATTTAGGCATTCAGTCACGTAAATTGCAAGGTGCTAATTTCATAACCTGATAACTCAGAATGCATTTCTACCTCGGTACCGACACTTTTTTACAAATTGGACAGCCGTGGACATAATTGCTTAAGTATAAACTAACCATGTAAAAAAAAAATCACCAGTACTGGTATTAAGAAATACCTAAAGAATCTCACCCAAAAAGCAATAAGTGGTGTTTTCCCCCCCAGAAGTTATAAAACACGTAAAATCCTTTTAATTTATATTTTCTTTGTCCCTGTAACACCAAAGCTAATCTCTAACCTAACGGTAAATAACTTCCTAAAAGACTCCATCTAGCTGCGCGACACCCCAAATAATCTAAACTTAATGAAGTGGAACGTTCCAGCGTGGCCGGGACATATAAAATGTCACCACCAAAGCAAGGGAGCGTGAGTTCAAACATCTGGCTGTGCCCTTATTGAGTGAAATTTTTAAAGGGAGGTTGTGTCCTCCGGCCCAACAGCAGGGAGAGGAATAGAACCCGCTCCGTGTGAGGAGTCGGCGGTCTGACTCACGCGTGCGCTTGTATTTGTAATGAAGATGAACTTCTAACCCAAGGATGTAAATAACACATTAAAAAAAAAACACACACAGTGGTATTTACCTTGCCTCCGCTTAACCGCTTCCGATTGGACCAACGCTGAGGATCGCGTCCATTGAATGGTGAAGAAGGGAAAAAAAAGGAAAGAGAGAAACAAAATCGTTAGCCACACAAAGATAACATTCTACTAGTTAGATTAGATGGTAAAGATGACTGGGAATGACAGACATCCCACCTTTGTCTGAGGTTACAGAGAAAACACGTGTGAGCAAGGAAACAGTTAGAAACAGAGAGAAATCACGTATCGGGGCAGTTACACCATTTGTTCACAGTACTTTCAACAAGGAACGCCCAAGGTCATAGAAATACTGCTCAGTTCGTACAAGTCCTTTACGCTTATGTTCTGAAACGCCTTAAAACAGTACAATTTCTCCTCTAAAAGGCAGAGTTCTCCTACTTGAAATATTCAGGTGAGGTTACAAAAATATTTAAAGAAATTCAGGGACAATGTGAGTTCATGTTTAGGTTTCCAGAGCTTTAGATACTAGAAAAATAATTCCATTTACCTCCACGGATTAAGTCTCAATTTTAAAAAAAAAAAAATCGGAGTCATTCCTACACAATGAAGAAAAATAGGCTAACACAGCTCTGAGGGAGAGAAGAAAAAATTTCTGAACAGCAAGGAATTTCTCCACCGCTCTCGTGGGTCACGCTAAACTAAGGCTGCTGAATTGCGTAGACAATTAAAATTCTCTCCTAGCAAAATCCTCTCATTCCCTCCATCACTGCCCAGGACTGTGGCTGGTTAGCCACCTAACTGGATGTTCAAACTCGGATAAATTTGGGAGATTACAACTCAATTATGAGCCTAATGGAGCAGCCCACATTGATTATCATTGTTTAAGGAAAAAATACCTTTAGGCACATGACCTGTCCGTGCCACCAATACATCTTCCCAGTAAATTATAAACCAGGCAATATATAGTCTTTGGGGGAAATCCACTTATATTCTAGTGACCAGCAACTAGAAACGTTGGATACAGAAGTGACTTGAAAATATTCTTTATTTAAAAACACTTCTGCTGGTGCAACTGTGAGTTCAGCATTCAGCACATGACATGGAGTTGTAGATACTACAACCCTGGGTGCTAAAATCAGTTCTTTTTCGTATTATCCCAGTAACACGTTGACATGTATTTCAACCCAAACATACATCAAAATTAATTACCATCTTAAAGGTACACAAGGCTATTTAGGGCCTTTTGACGTATGATTCTTTTGATCTCTATAATGATCATAAAAGACATATAAAATGGATGTGGATATAAGTGCAGAATGACTGTTACTGTCTGCTTACTACAATACGAAAGTTACCATATATAGAGTGCCTACCCCATGCCAAACTCTGTATCTGATCATCTCAATCTTCACAATTTTTTAAAATAACCTTTTTTTTTATCCCCATTTCACTCATGAGGAAATTGTCGCTGAGAGGCGTTGGGTTAGTCTGTGAATTTGACCTGCTCGCTTAATTCTCAAAACTCGAAAATGTGGGAGCCGGGATTCAAACCCAGGGAGTCGGACGACAGGCTGTGATTCTAACTCCAATCCTATTTTTTGCCAAGAAAAAGAGATACCAGGTTGGTCAGCTTTCCAGCCATTCACTGCCTTACCTTCTCACTGTGCACTTCCCACAGACACAGCAATCCACGCCTAAGGGTCAATTCCTAGACATGTTGCACATGTTAAGGTTTTTGTCAGCTGGGTTCTAGAGCAACAGCGATTGCCTCAATGATGACGGTAAGAAATATGGGTTCAACACCGAGAATTCAAACTGAAATCTCTCCATCAGACTTTAAAGGAAAATGGAAATTTATAAACAAAAAATATTCCCTATCAATAAACCTCTGTCTTCCCAGTTTCGTGTTATTTTTCTCATTTAAAAAACCTAATATAAGACTTAAATAGTCACTTAAACTCAATTTTAAAAAATCCTCAAGAGGGAAAACACTCCATGAAAATACCTCTCTAGGTTCATGGACCATGTGTAGAGTCATCATTCATCAAAAACATCCGCATCTTTGAAATCTGGGTTGAAATTGAGGAGCCCCAATAAACAACTTACCATTGGTGACAGACTGAGCTAGAAGAATTGACTAAGGAAATTCAGAAACATCTGACTCAAAAATCAGTAAAACTATGTAAAATTGTCAGATGTTCCCTATCAATTTGTTCAATAAATACTTATTGAGTATATTTTGTTTTTAAAAAAATCCTCAGACATTTCCTTTTATATCCAAAAGGTCCCCGACAGGCACTGTGAGTCGAGTAACTACCCCCGGCCCGGGATAAATTATTCCTTGCAGGGGTACACTTTGATCAAGTACAGAAACAGAAAAATAAAACTACCAGTTGGAACGAATGAGAGCAGGCAGGGTTTTTTCCCTGCGTTATAATACCCACAGAAAACATATACAAAATAAGTATTTTGCACACTAGACCTCTGCCAGACAAGCAAAGAACAAAGAAAATGAGAAAAGTACATGAGCGAGCACATATCCAGCCTGAAAATTTCTCAAAAACAGCAGGTGGGGCCCGGCTGGTGTGGCTCAGTGGTTGAGCGTCGACCTATGAACCAGGAGGTCACGGTTCGATTCCCGGTCAGGGCACATGCCCGGGGTGCGGGCTCCATCCCCAGTGTGGGGCGTGCAGGACGCAGCCGAACAGTGATTCTCTCTCATCACTGATGTCTCTCTCTCTCTCCCCCTTTCCTTTCCTCTATGAAATCAATAAAAATATAATTTTTAAAAAAATTGGAGAGCCAAACCAAATAACATGACAAGTGTGGCTACTTTTAGGACTCTGGAAAGATATTCCTTGAGATGCTTTATATAAAAAACAACAACAACAAAAACTCAAGCCGTATTGAATATTAATATCTCTGCCATTTGAAATAAAATTTTTAACTAAGGTAGCATTACTTCCAAACTCCAAACTTTGCAATATTTAAGTATATTGTAAGGGTCAGTGTCACTGCTAAACATAATCTAATCTATCACAGGAAAATTTACAAGGGGAATAAGTATGCAGCTAGTATGTCGCTGAAACATGCAAGCGTTTTCATGGGGGAATTATCCAATTTTACAAACCCCACTTACACAGGTAAGAAATTATTGGAACCTATCAGCTAGCAATTGCTCACCACGTGGCAAACGATACTGGCTCACATTCATGTATCTTAACCGGCATCCAGCTCAAGGGACTGGTCGCCTCCTGCTCACAGTGACACCGGCTCGAGTGCCAATACTGTCAAGACTAAGAGAAGCCACAGAAAATTCCTCCTTCGTGACGTTAGCTAGAAAAATAGATTCATTTTCAACAGCAACTTGAAGACATTTCAACATCCAAACGTCAGCTTTAAAGAGGCCTCAAGTTTGAACGCTGACACTTTTTTAAAAAAACGATGGATATTTTTTTCTCCGTCATTGTCCAGTAAATCCTCGTACGGTTTTGAATTAAAAATAGCAACTATTTAGCTGACCCTCTGGCATTTGAAAAGTCACAGTGCTGTGTTCCTGCTTCCTGAAGCCGTTTTTCTTGGGTCACCAGTAAATCAGTCATGACTTTCATCGTGAAAATAAGTTACAACGACAAGCAAAGATGATGTCAAAATGAAGAATATTCTTGTCGCCGACCCCAGTGACTCAATTCGAGAAGCATTAATGGAGGCCTAATTTATAAACAGGCCTGATTTGAAACACGCTTAATTTTCACACAGCTTCGTCCCTTTTCGAGGAGGTATTTCGGCTGGCTTCAAAAATACCTTTCGAATAAGTGACAACCAAAGATGCTTTTTGTTTTTATTTTAATTTTTGGAGTCTCATTATATGCTCTGAATATAAAATAAGATTACTATTTGCATTCACATATGTGCTCAAAATAACAGAACCCCAGCCACCTCATCACAAAACCCAAAGATGTGTTGATATTACAGGAATCTGCACCAGGTTGTGCATTAGCTGGAAATTTCTATGTAACGGGCCACAGAACATTAAAATCTCTATCCTCCCAAAAGTACTCTCCATAGAAAACTTGGTGGCTAAAAGGAACAGAAACGGAAATGCTTCAAATATATACTATACTTGGTTGCCTTAATAATGTACAACGCAGTAATTAAATCCTGGAAACTGCTTTTCGTAACTGAACAATACCCAAGTTCTCTAGTACCTAAGGAGATGGTAAGTAAAAACCTGAACACTTAGTACAATTGTATTTCAGATGATCTTGCTAAGAGCAAACCATAAGTCACATACACATTTTAGTCATAGCAGCACTATCTATATCTCTAGCCCAAACAGGGAGAATTCTTTTTTTTTTAATATATTTTATTGATTTTTTTACAGAGAGGAAGGGAGAGGGATAGAGAGTTAGAAACATCATGAGAGAGAAACATCAATCAGCTGCCTCCTGCACACCCCCTACTGGGGATGTGCCTGCAACCAAGGTACAGGCCCTTGACCGGAATCGAACCTGGGACCCTTCAGTCCGCAGGCCGACGCTCTATCTACTGAGCTAAACCGGTCAGGGCCGGATAATTCTTATATGATTTTCTTTCCAGAGATCCAAAAGAGAGGATATATATGTATATGTGTGTGTGTGTGTGTGTCTATATATATACATATATATATATACACACATATATATATAT